AGGAAAAAGTCATGTGATGACTTTTCAGTTTAACTGATGAAGAACTCTGGTAGCTGTTCTAGCATAATTTGAGCAGAAGCAAGCACTCCATAGAACCCCACCGGCCTTTTGAGCTAGCTGGATAACTTCCTCACATGAACAATTCAGGCAGGAGGTGAACAGAGGTCCAAGTCTGCACACAGAGGTGACAGAGGTCAACGTCTGCACACAGAGGTCACAGAGGTCAAGTCTGCACCAGAGGTGACAGAGGTCAAGTCTGCACACAGATAGGTGACAGAGGTCAAGCCTGCACACAGAGAGGTGACAGAGGTCAGTCTGCACACAGAGGTGACAGATGTAAGTCTGCACACAGAGGTGAAAGAGGTCAAGTCAAGTCTGCACACAGAGGTGACAGAGGTCAAGTCTACACTTTGAGGGTAGAATTTGTCCAGAAATAAATGGTCTTGGTACAATTTGTTAGAATATCTCTAAGGAATACTTGTATTTATTCTGTTAATTTCCAGATTTCATTGAAATCATCACATGTATTTATGTATCTTGTTTACTTGGTGAAATAAAAGCAATTATTATACATGAAAGAACGTAAGTTCATTAAAAACTATACAGAAAAGTCTGGGAAGTTTTAAAAAAAAGTTTTTAATTAAATCTCAATCAGTAAATATCATAACAGAGTGATAGTAAAGATAAAATATGAAAAGCACTATTGTTATAAAAGTGGCACAAAAATGAAGCCTTCACTCTGTAAAGTGACCCTCTTATCAAACTTAGTGAAATAATTTAAGCCATTATTATTAGCACAAAACTATGAGATATGATATGTTGCGGTGATTCTGTTAAATAATAATATGACATGTATGAAGCCGCGTCACGACAAAACCAACACAATGGTTTGCGACCAGCATGGATCCAGACCAGCTGCGCAGTCTGATCAGGATCCATGCTGTTGGCTTACAAACTATAACAAAGTAGAGAAACTGATAGCGAACAGCATGGATCCTGATCAGACTGCGCGAATGCGCAGGCCGTTCTGGATCCATGCTGCGTCGCAAACCCATTATGTGGTTTGTCGTGAAGCGGCTCATATATCATTCAAAAACATATCTTTATAATTATCATGATGAAAGAGAGTATTTGGATTATTTTAGAGATGAAAAACAACAGCAACAAAAATGAGGAGCAGTTAATAGAAATCAACACCCCACCAAAACTAGCTACAGAAAAGTAGTATATTGAATACTGGAGACCGCTGAATATGTACCCATACGAAATATTTTTCTTTTTTCCATCTTCAGTAAAGGTGATGTTTTAAGAAAAATCAAGACTATCAATGTAAAAATCCGCCGCCAAACATTGGTTCTATAAAATGTGTCATTTTACAAAATAAATACCACAAATACAAAAGCCTTAGAGGCATAGTTTCTATAATCTTTCCATCAAATAACAATAAATAAATATGTACATAAATTATGTACAACAATAACATTTTCTTTGTAGCATTTAGAGAAAATGCATATGTAAATTTAATACACAAATGCATATTTAAAAATTTCAGTTGGTCAAACTATTTCAATGACTTAGAAATCTGTAGAAATCTGTTTCAAAACTGTCAATATTAGTTAAATAATGTTTTACATACTATATACATGTATGTGAATTATAAAACAATACAATATCAACAACACAATACGGATTTCAGGTGGCAAAAAAAAATAATGGCATACTGTAATTTATGTAAGACTTATAGATGCTAAAATCCTGTTTAGGAAGAAATTTCCTATGCATGTGAAAAATTAAAAGGTTGTCCCTGTTAAATCAAAATATAATGTGAAGCATGCTATAAATATTTAAATATTATTAAGTAACATTAAAGCTGCACGCACGCCTCCAGACGAGCCAAAATATTTCAAGAAAATCAGTATTGAGAAAAATGTACTAAAATTTTAAGAAAGGTAACACATCCAAGATCCAAGTTTAGTTATATTTTGCAAGTTATGTGCTGTTTTAGACTGATTTTGAAGGGCTGTTTTTGCATATGTTGACCACCTTTTGGTAATTTTCTTGGATTTAAGTGCCGATTGCAATATGTAAATTGCTTTATTTGTTCAGCTCTCAATATTTTACTTTTAAATACATATGAAAATTAACATGAATCTGGAGGCGTTCTGCTTTAAACTATTACACAGATTGTGCAACTTGGCTATTTTAATAAATATAATATAAAGAATACACCAATTTCATCTATTGAATCATGCATGAAAGAGTCAGAAGTTGTAACATTGCATTAATACTGATGAAAACAAGTTTAATCAAATCAATTCATAATTATGCTATGCAGGTAGTACATTTTTTTGAATGCAGAAACAGATTTATTCTTATAAAAGAATAAGTAATTAAAGGGTTGTTTGTTCAATCCATTAGCAAGGCGAAATTTCTCCATGCAGGTGACAGCCAATAAAAAACCTTGCATCAATAAAAAGTCATTGAAGTATTCTGTGAATCACGGATGACTTTCTAAAATAACCACTAAAAATTAATGAAAATTTCTAAAAAATTAACATAAAAGGGATTTGTTAAAGTTAATCTTACACTTATCTCTTAGACATCACAAAATTTCACACATTTTTTGCTGAAAATTTCAATTCTGTCGCACTGTAAAAATCTTTTCGTTAGAGTAGTAGGGACATGTATATAATACTATAGAACAATTCTGTTCTCAAATATGATATTTCAATTATTACTTGTTTAACAATGGAGTTAGAGATTGTCATTGAGATATATTAATATAATATATAACCTATAAACACAGCCTTATTGTTGATCTATCTAAAATAATAATTCCTCTCAGATCTCAATATTTAAACCAATCAGAACGTTGAATTCAACACTTGTTTCAAACGTCATTCGACTAGACGTTACCAATAGAATACTCTCTAATCTTTGAGGAAAGGAGATCACTGAACTGTCACTTTAATATAATCTCTTGTCAAAGAATTTTGTTGCGTTAAATGTTGTGGATTGGATGAGGCCAAAACAGGTGACTCCTCAACATTGGTTGAATCTTCACAAACTATGGCTGCTAAATGATTAACACACATATCCTGAAATCATAATTTGCCAGGTAAGTACATGTAGGAAAAGAAATAAAATCTATAAATAATTTTAAGTATAATAAGTTATTTCGACTGGAGAAAATTTCAATACATGTAGTAGTACAAGACTATAATAATTAAAAGAAGTTGTATACAATTGAAGCCCTAGTAGTGGGTGGTGTGTGTTTTTACCCAGGGATCATAAGTTTGAGAACTACCAAGGTGACGAACATGTTTCCTCATATGACCCCAATACTGGTAAGCTTCCCAACAAGAACTCCTTTAGTGGTTCAAAAAGCATAAAGTTATCATATTCCAGCGCATGTAAATAATTTAATACATATATATTTGAACATAAAAAAATCGGTTTCAATCTCTCCTTATAGTTTTAGTATTTCTTTTCATCCTCTACTGCTTATTTCGTTAGCTTTTATTGTTGAGGAAAAAAAAGGGCAGACAACCCTTCCTCTCGTAATAAACATTGGCTAGCACCCTCAACAAACATGCTTGAAAGTAACACCAACAAAATATAAAACAACAGGTGTTAAAGGGCAACTTTGAAGTCAATGGAACTTAGCCAAGTGGACACCAGAGTCAAGAACTTAATATATTCATACAGATGATGAAATTTATAAATAACAATACCATAATAAATGTGAGCCTGCGAATGTTGACTTGAAGAAAATTAATGAGGTCACGGATGCCACCAACTGAAATGAAAAAAGTTCATTATTCTTATTTCTAGTACATTTAAAGTTGAAGACTGAATACTGCGAATTCACTTATATACATGGGTATGAAATTTCGTGGTTTTATCAAAATCAGGCATTTTCGTGGGCTCTTAAATTTGTGGATTTTCAATTTCTTGTAAAAAAATCAAATAAATAACCTAATGCAAAGTAATCTTACACTTAATTGCCGCGCATTTTACTGAACACATGTACATATCTTTCCGTATCACACATCACTTGCCAGTAAATTTAATCCTTGCCTCTGGGCATTCATTACACAAAAATTGGCAGAAAAGTGCCGATATGATTGTAATGTACAGAATAGAGACATGGCAAGAAGTATTTGTCGGGATAAAATTTCGTCGGATCTTAAATTCGTGGATTGACCTACCTACGAAAACCAGGAAAATTCGTGTCCCACAAATAATAATGATTTTACAGTACTGCTTAAGACATTGTTAGAGGGGTTTTGCATCCTTCCATTATCCGTCATGAACAGACTAGATCAAATGGAGTCTGCAATTTTTATGTATTTTTGTTGTTTTTATTACTTCCAAGGGATCTCCCCTTATCAAAAATTTTAATTACATGTTTAATTAAATTGTTTTCTACATCATTTACAATGCTTTATCATCCTGTTTGCTATTGAAATATTAAAATAATGTGCTGTATATTAAACACAATTTTTTTTATACACATTTCCATTGCAAGAACAAAACTCAGCTTGCAAACATACCATTTGAAATTTCAAGGAACTAACTATTTCTTACATTCATTATTTTGACCATCCCTTGTCAAAAGATATTATAGTTTGTCTAAAACTTTGTAAGCCAGATCTGTGCACATTGCAAAGGCTCTAAACTTTTAGCTGTTGGATTATTATGATGCTGAATCATCTCCAACTCACAATGCACAGTTACAAACAGTTTCAAAACAGTACAAGTCCATGACATATATTCACCATACTTGTGAAATAAACAAATCAGCCTGTAAGTTGAATAACCTGTTTAAGTATATTGGAGAAGTTCAGCTTTGAATTTTGAACAGTCCATTCAAAGTTTAAGGGATTTAAATATCAAATTTAAACAAGAGCCGGTTGAACTGGGTGATGCTTCCCGAATAGCTTTTGGACACAGGAAGGTATACCTCTTGTTGTGTCAGAATTATGTCACAGACAAAGTTCAAATGTTGTGCACGACACATTGCCTCAATATGGTGATCATTTCTGTGAAATAGTTGTAAAATCCGACTTCAAATAACGAAGTTATTGGCTGGACACGATTTTGCTGCAAGGTCATGCTGTGACCTTGACCTTCAAGGTACCCAAATGTTGCATGCATCACGTCGATTCAATATGGTGATCATCTCTGTGAAATAGTTGTTAAATCCGACTTCAAGTAACATAGTTATGGGCCGGACACGATTTTGCTGCAAGGTCATGCCTTGACCTTGACTTAGCAACCCAAATGTTGCAAGTGACACATTGATTCAATACGGTGATCATTTCTGTGAAATAGTTTTAAAATCCGTCTTCAAATAACGAAAATATGGGCCGGACACGATTTTGCTGCAAGGTCATGCTGTGACCTTGACCTTTATGGTAGCGACCCAAATGTTGCGCACAACATGTCATCTCAATATGGTGATCATTTCTGTGAAATAGTTTTAAAAACGGACTTCAAATAACAAAGTTATGTGCAGGACAGGATTTTGCTGAAAGGTTATGCTGTGACCTTGACCTTCAAGGTAGTGACCCAAATCTCAATATGGTGATCATTTCTGTGAAATAGTTTTAAAATCTGACTTCAAATAACAAAGTTATGGGCCGGACACGAATTCGGGACGTATGTACGGACTGACTGACGGACGGACAACCCGACGACTATATGCTCCCCCGAAATTTTTCGGGGAGCATAAAAATTGACCTACTAACAGCATATAAGCTGACCAGACTGCACAGAAGTGCAGGTTCGCTGGCCTGGTTCAATACTGGCTGCAAGAACTAGTCATTTCTTTCCAGCAGGTTTTAGTTTAAATGTACGAGTACTTACTTTACATATCCCTGTTATTTTTGCCATTTCTCCCTTATCTATATTACTTTCCACAAGTTTTATATTACTGAGAGCGAGAAAAACACCAAACACACCACTGAAACAAATGCAATATACAGAAATAATATATGTGTACAAATGAACATTAAAGAACATTTACTTTAAAAACTTTTCACTTAAACATGGTTTACCATATTTGATCATTAAGTATTGTTTAATTTTCTAAACTTTTCAGACACCAAAGACAAATTCTCTGTCTTCACTAAGGTGGTACTGTTGCACATTCTATTAGTTCTCTCAGTTTTAAAGTTACACCATGTACATTGTATTTTATAGGAGTTAATCATAAAGCCCATTATAGGCAAAAACCTTCAGCATTATAGAATAAAGTCTGGCAATATAATCAAAGGCTTAAGCAATAAAAGGGAAACAAAATGCTGCAATTACAGTAAAAACTATAGCTACTACAGTTAAATATTTTAGCTATTTAATCCAAAAATTTTCACCGTTCTAGGGAATAAAACAACATAAAAATAACTTAAACCATAATAGGTCCTTAATTTCCAATTAATTTCCAATACATGTATAATACATTGTAATACATATCACAAACCTCATGATACAACCAACATAAAATTTGGAGAAGTATAAATATGGATATCTCCCAGCTTGTACGGCATCCCCTGAAATAAAATATATCAAGACCTGAAGAGTATTTGACCACTTACCATACACACTCTAAAAATCTTTCTGCTAAAAGTACCTATCAAAATGATAGCAGCTTGATAAATCAATGATAAAAGACTTGTAAATAGGATAACTGTTTGTCTTTTTGGGGTTTAAGGGCACAAACAAAATTTAAAGGTCATATAAATCAAAACCCGGGAAAGATGTTTTTTGGCAAATTTTGGGGTAAATAAAAACCCTTAAAACCCAACCCGGGGGTTAGAATAACAACTTTAACAAAAGTTTTTTTATATAAAATACCCCATCTTTGTAAAAATAGCCCCATTTAAATTTCAAGAAATTTGGGCCCTAAATTTTCAAATCAGTTTTTTGGGTGTTGTTTTGTAACATAACTAGTCTCTTTTTATTTCTTAAACTTTTTATTAACACCAAATTTTGGGCCCCAACCTAAAAATTTTAAATTATAAAAAATTAAATAAAGGCCATACAAAAGAAAATAGTTTGGAAGGGAGTAAAAACAAACACACTAAAAAGAAAACAAATACCCCCGTTTTTACCCAGTGGTTTTTTATAACCCAATAATGTCTTTTTCTATGTGTTTTAAAGCCAACAGTTTTGGGTTTGGGTTTAAATGAAAATGCATGGCGACTTTTCAGCTGCCCAAAGGAGGAAAAATTTTCTTTTTTCCTTTAGTGCTTATTTCAGCCCAAAAAGAATTTAAATTTTCTCTAAGAAGCTGGATGGGGTTCCTACAGACAAAATTTAAATAGTTCCTAGAAAGAACTAAACTAAACAGGGGCCCAAACAATATACAGAAGGGGTTGTCCCAGTTTTTTTCCTTGTAAATTATAAATATTTCATTGTTTAATATACATGTCTGCTGCCAATCTATGAAGAAATCTTATTTTGCTGTTTTATAAATTCGTCAAAAATATTTTGTTACCAGTTATAAGGCTGCATATAAACGTTTGTTGTAAAATAAAAGCGATTAGAGATATTAAAGGTAAACAATGATATTCACATCCAAATTCCCCGTTAAATAGTTACAATACTCCCTTTTATGAGCACTGGGGAAAAAAAAAGAAATAAAGCTTTAAAAAGAATTTTTTTATACCCCATAAAAGCTACAAATAAATTTTTTTATAAAAGAATTTTTTTAAACCCCCGACCAAAGCCAAACCACCCCAAAAACTCTCACTCCTTAGATTTGTTTAATAGCAAACAAAGTGGTACTTAAAATAGTAGTTTATTTAGTTCACTTTTTTATTCAGGTCTACAAGGGAGGGTGAGGTGACATGAATATATAATGTGATCATACCTTAATTTTAATCTTCCTCGTGAAATCTTTGAATAAACACCATATCCACCTGTGAATATATTACATGTCTGACATAAATATACTTAACTTTAACATTACCAATTGGTATAACCAAATTTTCTATAAAAAACCAAACAGTAAATGTTTGGTAAATTCATATCTTTCATAATCATATAAACAAAACTTTAGGAATTGGTAAATTTATATTGCCCACTTGGCCATGCCACCACTCATTTCTTCAAAATGTGTAGCTAATTATGCCCCTTACTCACTAAACATAATAGAGGATATTGAACAAGTGTAAGTTTAATACTGAATTTATTGAACGAGTTGAATAAAATTATACAAGCTTGTGGCGAGCATAATATTATTTTATTGAACAAGTTCAATAAATTTAGTATTAAACTTACATGAATTTAATATTCTATTTATCATATACCAAAAACAAAGACCGTTTGAAGAAAAAAAGAACCCTTTTTTATTGACGTGCCTATAATATAACGCTTACATTTAGCGTGTCTTTACGCTATGTTTATACATGTATAACGAAAATGACGTCACATCAAAATAGATGCACTGCACAACCGTGCACTATCATTTTTTTACGGAGTCATATATTATAATAATGTATAATAATGTCGCATAATGTATATTATGTCAGCTAGCATGTTAAAAATATGAAAATGAATACTGTAACAAGAGAGCTATTGTAGCATTCAACTATTTGCCAGTATAAATCTTACAGGGGTTCGTAAAAAGCTGCTTACAGATATTTTCTTCTCTAGTACTATTCACAAAGATCATCAATGAACAAAGTATAGTAAATACTTTAGTATATATATTGAAGAATAACCATTTACTCAAAAAAAGATAATATTCAAAAGCTTTTCTATTCTTAGGTTAGTTACAAAAAAAAAAAAAAAATACCTTGAAACTTTCCAACTGAGTAATTAATACTTAAAATAATGGCCAAATTTGCATCACCTATTAATAAACTAGATGTATGTTCTACCTTAAGAGTAAAATATTATGTGTATCATTTTTACCTGTTGTTAAAATATGAACACAGGTCCAGAAATAGCCATCCATGTGGTAGTCTGGGTCAGTGGCCCCTATTAAAATTGATGATACAACCAGTATCATCAACATTGTGTAACTGTAAATACTTGTCAACTGAAATAGTGGCATTAAACCTACATAAACAAACAGCAATAAATACTGGGGCCTTTTTTTCTTCTTTAATTTTGATGCTTTAAGTGACACAAGCAATGTTAAAGTCCATGTGAAAAATTTTCAGATTATGTTGTGAAGAATGTCACTGGATGCTTCTACATTTAAACAGAAAATATGTCATCGCCACACAAAACTGGATAAAAGTTATAAGAGATTACTTAAATTCACAAAGGGGGAATAAATCTGTGAAAATCTAAAATAGAGTTATGGGTCTTGGTACATGACCAACAATCAAAACCTTTAAGATGTGTCATTTACCTGTCTATATATGGCAAGTTGAGCTGTACATAGTATCACAGTTACTAGGTTGTGTAGAGACAGGAACACTGGAATGGACTGAAATAATAAAATATTGATGCTTCACAATATAATAATTGACATCATTTTATTTATGTAAGTATTTTTATCTCTCTTACCAACAATTTTAGTTTGTAACAGAAAGATGGAAATGCATCAGAAAAAAACCCATCCCAATTTGGCTGAGATTTGAACTCACAACCACAAGCTTACAAAGTAACAATGCTCCAGACCACTGGATCAAAGAATCGATTCCCTAGCACAAAGGTCATAATGTTGCATTTATAGTTATGATAGTTGTGAAGATAGGGGTGCACTCAACTGCAACGAATCCCAGTGAGAACAAATATTATATTGTTATGTAATCTTTACTAACACCATGCAATGAATATACAGTAAATGTATTAAACAAAGGCAACAGATTTTGCTGTAACTTACCAAGGCAGCTAAAGCTTTGGACCCAGAATAAATTGAGCTCACAAAGAACATCATCCCTGGCAACCAGTTAGCAATGTCATATCTGAAAGGTGAGAAAAATCTAGTGAGATATAAAAAAAGATTAACCTTAATGTACAATAATGAATATACATCTAGTATAATCTTTATTGCATTTAGATACTCATATCTAAACATAGAATGCCTCTAGAGTCAAGCTAATTCTTATCAAAATTTCAAACATTTTGAAATCTCAACTGTGGTTTATTGACATGACAGGGCTGGAAATATTTGTTTTACATTTGTGTGACATTCAATGCAAGTCTAGACTAATAACTTATCTGCAAAAATTTCATAATTCATAATTTCAAATTTGTTTGTGTCTTTTTCTAGATTTGTCATTTTTATTGTGCAAAATGACCCAAAAATGAAAAAGTAATGACAGCAACAATTTTCACACAAATAAGGCTAAGAAACACAATAAAATTTGATTAGTTCTGCATATATTTCTTTATACCTTTAGCATATTTTTCTATTTTATGCACATCAACTGATACTTGTAAGAATTTCAAATTTTATGGACTTAGGCTTCAGCTTTTGCTGTCAGATACACGTGTGTTTGCTGGTATAAACTACATGTATAATTCCTATCACATACAATAAAGATTAAAGAATTTTTTACTTACAGGCATAACAATTAATCTTTTATTTAGTCTTACCTGTCTGTATTGTCAAGAAGTGTTGGTAGATGCCTTGTTGATACCAACAAACTCAACATTAGGAATCCCACCAGAGTCTGCCATCTGAAATAAGTTAAAGGCCCATGACAGATTTATTTTACATAACCATATATCTGAACGGATTTTTACGGACATACAAAAGTACATATTAAATACAATATCAGGTTGTTTGTTTGATATACAGCATGATATTTGATTAGCTTCTCCCAAAAATTGTTTCTACAATTGCATTTCTTATTCCAGCTTTAATATGCATACATATATTACCCTAAGAGGGTATAAATCTATATCTTATGAAATATTTTTATAAAATTTATCAACAGTAAAATTATATTGGTTTCATTATTATATGGTGATTCCCGAAAAATTTGTAACATAGAATACACATGAATAATGTACATATTTAACAGAATAAAATGTTCCGGAATAAAATATTATTTTGCTATTTTTTTTGAAAATAAAAATAATAATTTTTGCATCAGATATATTAAAGCTTTATACACTTAAATCAATTACAGAAAGATAATAACAACAACTGGTGGCAAAGGCTATTCACTTTTGGTTCCAGAAGGATAAAAAATAAATGAATGTATTAAAGTTGACATACCCTTGAAAGATGGTTGGAAATTGGAACTTCAACACAGACAATACATACTGAAATCATAAGAAGCATTGCATACTTTTAATAAACTTTTTTTAATAAAATCTAGAGAAAGCTTTAAAGTTTAGCTGTCCGGAAAGAGGTACATGTACTATACATAATGAGTAATTATTTAATTATTGACATTGAGAAAAATCCCAGTTATCAAATCAAAATGCATTATCCAGGCAGATATTTTATGATGAAAAACTTAAAACTTCAGTAAATCTAGAATCCTTTGCTTGATATCATATCAGCAATGCCCTTTATCTTCCCAATATATCAAGTCATTCCCTCTCAAAGATATTAAGCCTAAAAGATATCAAGTATTTTTCTTCCAAAAGTATTGTTTAAGTCCAAAGATATCAGGTTCAAAGGTATAAGGTCCAAATGTATCAAGTCCAAATGTATCAAGTCCAAAGGTATCAAATCATTTACTTACAAATATGTCAAACTATTAAATACAGGATTGACTGTATTGTGAAAAACTAAATATCTCAAACAAACATGTAATAATGTATTGTAAAACTATAGATACCTTGTTGACAAAATGAGTTGCAACAAATACTGCACAGTGGATACTTGCTTGTTGTAGTGAACTTCTCATGATTCCTTCATTATACTGAATTGAAATACATTAATCCTTATTCATCAAGTTTCAGTTCATCACCTGAAATACACAGCACTGAGTTAACTGGTATACTATATAATATACATCATATTTCATCATTGTTAAGATTATCCTTGAAATACTGATCTGCAGTTTTACCAGTTGTTTGTTTGTTTTGTTTGTTTGTTTCATATTACGCCTTTTCCCCAACAGTATTTCAGTCATATAGGCCGTTAGTTTTCTAACCATACGTTCCTGGAGAGTAACACCAGTACTAGTCTTCCTTCCTCCGTTCTAAACTACCACAAAGCATCTCCCGGGGATCAAACCCACGCCAGAGAGGTTACTGGATTAGAAGTCATCTGACTCTAAACCCATCAATTACGCACGGAGGCTGTCTTCTACCAGTTTGAGCTATCTAGCCACTTCTAAAACTATTCTTTTGAAGAACCTTTAAAGGGTTTTGAGGCTTTGGATAAACCATTTTTTCTTTAAGTATGATGTTTTTCAGCAGTAAAGAACATAGGGCAAGGTAATTTAGAGGTAGATCTTCCTGGGGGAGAAATGAACATTTCTAATGGTCAGTAGTTGCTTGAATTTGTTTGAAAGCATCCATGGGACTGGATATTTCAAGTATGTCTTGTGACAGGTTTGGGCTAGACAGACTAGAGAATCACAACTTGATTTGCAGAAAGATTTTTGAGCAAATATTCAAGCATATGAACTCTGCATCTAGAATCCTATAAATTTTAACATTATTTTGCCTAGGAAGGCCACCGCCCCTAATACATAGAAAACCAGTAAAATACAAAATGCTAACATTTTCCCAACTTTTAAGTAAAAAATTTTAAAAAGTAAAACGCATAAATTTTTATTGTTATATTGTGTAATAAAAACACATAAAATTAAAAAAAATTTTTTTTATTTGGAGACATTTGGGAAGAAAAATCCCAAAGGGTTTTTTATGACATATTACCTAATTCTATATCTCTTGCCTAAGTATATACCCAGCAAAATACAAAAAATTCATCTTCTACAACTGTCAGATAAAAGAGGTACCAACTTCCGTGCCACACTTCTTATCCCCCACATCTCCATCTAAACCTTTGTGACGCCAGATAGTATTCTATCTCTGGGTATACAAATCCAAACTTAACAAGAATGATATAGTCACTAAATACGCCCATCTGGTTTCACAAAGCTTTAGATGGAGATGTGGGGGATAAGAAGTTTGGCACGGAAGTTGGTCCCTCAACATATTTTCGTCTGAAATTTTTTACCTCTGTGTGATCTATGTTGCAGGGACCTGAAATTTATGTGTGACACTCAGCCTCACCATGATGAAAATTTGTGCCAAGTTATGTTAAAATCCTTCAATGCATGTAAAAGATTTGCTGCTGGCAAGCGTTTTTCAAAGAGATCAAAGTGACCTTGACCTTTAAGGCTTTGACTTAGACCTGGTTCATGCAGGGGACATCACGTTTCTTGGTGGTGAACAATTCTGTAAAGTAACCTTTATATTCCTCCATGCATGTAGGAGATACACTCTGGACAATATCTGGATATTTAATAATCTTTTGCGGCCTTGACCTTGCAAATTATAACCTAAATTATATCATGTCACACCTGTAGTCATGATATTTACCATTTGTATTACAATCCATCAATAAATGATGTATAAATGGTCCCTATACACAACTTCATATCTTTATCTGAACTCTGACCTCTATGTGTAACCTTGGCCTTTGTTGCAGGGACCTGAATTTAGAATGCAACACTCTGCCTCACAATGGTGAACATTTCTGCCAAGTGATATCGAAACCAGAATCTCTCCATGCATGTAGAGAATTAAGCTCCGGACAAGCATTTTTCAATGACCTCTAAGTGTGACCTTGACTTTTGACCTAGAGACCTAGTGCTTTTGCCGTCACACGGCTTCTCATAGTGGTGAACATTTATAATGAAGTTTAATTGAAATCCCTCCATAAGTGTAGGAGATTAGCCCAACAAATTGTGCGCTTTAGGTCTTTTTTTTATATTATAGATGATGGTCGCCCTTAAAGACTTGCTTCTATGTAATATCAGATTGTAAAACTGGTTGGTCTTGCAATCGAAATATTGAAACTAGTAGGAGATACATGTTTGCTCCGAACAAAAGTGGACGGCGCCCACCCGACTGGAGCATTCCCATAATATGACCCATTTTTCAAATGGACAAATAAAAACAGTTTCTAGTATTTCGCATCCCCATGTTTGTCTTTCAACGTCTGGTCTGAGCATCAGATACTGTAACATTTTCTTGAATATCTTTGATTCTGACTTTAAATATTAGCAAGCCAATTTACATTCATCTAGTAACACATTCATATGAAACATATAAACAGGTCTATCTAGTTATTTCTCAGAAAGATATACCAGTTTGTACTCTAGACTTTGGAAAAAAATGCTATTTTAAGATTTTGACAAATAGCAAGACAATCCGAATTCTGTTACAGTTTTTGTTAATTTTTTTTATTTAAAAATAGCCGATCATTTATAAATGTCTTACACATTAAAAGACATCCTATAGTGTCTTTTAAATTTAATAATTTAAGTACCTCTGATTATGAGACCCTAAACTTATGAAATTGGTCAAATCGGCGAAATGACGTAGCTGTCCTGAAATTTGGTTCGAATAGTTCTGTGAACGAAACGCCTCTAACGACCAAAAAAATGTGCCGCCAATTATTTTATTTATAACATTTATTCATCTTATTTATACAAAAGTATAAATAGAGCACCAGAAACATATCTCTACTTTAAATAATTCCTCAAACAGCATATTACATAAATGACATTTTTTACGACACTTGCCGCCGGTCTCACTAAAAAGCGTCCCGAAGAAATTTAGCGTCCCGAAGCGTCCTGAAGCGTCCCGAAGCATTATTGTTAATTTAAACAGTCAGAAGGGTTATATTTATTGTAAATAATGTATATTATTATGTATTGAGGTATTTATGGTAGAAGAAAATATTCTTACTTATCATTTTTTCTATTTATATAAAAAAAACTAATATACCTTCGACTCAAGTTCACTTTGCTCAAAAACCCACCGGTATACCGACAAAGCGTCCGGAAGGTTTAATGGTTTATGCTAAAACCAAAATTATTTTGAAATACTTCGTAATTTTAGTTAATGAAATAGTAATATAAGTAACAATAGCGCGAGAAAAAAATGTTTTCCATACATAAAAATTATCTTTATATGCGCCCAAATCGTACGTCTATCCACGCATAGTTCAAGTTGCGTACTGACTAACATAGCGTCCCGAACGTATTCATGGTTTATATTTTTATCTAAGCAAGATAAATCGTAATTAAGTTCTTTTTATGATATGTGTAAGTGACATTAAAAAGGAAATAAACATTTTCAATCCACAAAATATTATTTTACAGCGCGAAAAACAGACGTTCCCATGTTGCGCTAACAAAGCGTCCCGAATGAATTTAGCGTCCCGAAATTCATGAAGCGTCCCGAAGCATTATCTTAATTTAAACAGTCAAGAATGGTTATATTTTATTGTAAATAATGTATATTATTATGTATTGAGGTATTTATGGTAGAAAAAATAATCTTACTTATCATTTTTTTCTATATTTATATAAAAAAACAAACATACCTTCGACTCCAGTTCACTTGCTCAAAAACCACCGTATACCGACAAAGCGTCCGGAAGGTTTAATGTTTATCTGAACCAAAATTTATTTTGAAAAACTTCGTAATTTTATGTTAATGAATAGTAATGTAAGTAACAATAGCGAGAAAAATGTTTTCCATACATAAAATCATCTTTATAGCGCCCGAAATCGTACGTCTATCCACGCATAGTTCAAGTTGCGTACTGACTAACATAGCGTCCCGAAACGTATTCATGGTTTTTATTTTATCTAAGCAAAGATAAATCGGTAATTAAGTTTCTTTTATGAATACGTGTAAGTGACAATTAAAAAGGAAATAAACATTTCATCCACAAAATATTATTTTACAGCACGAAAACTGACGTTTCCCATGTTGCGCTAACAAAGCGTCCCCGAAGAATTTTAGCGTCCGAAAATGTCATGAAGCGTCCCGAAGCATTAATCTTAATTTAAACAGTCAGAATGGTTATATTTTATTGTAAATAATGTATATTTATTATGTATTGAGGTATTTATGGTAGCAAAAAATAATCTTACTTATCATTTTTTTTTCTTATTTTATATAAAAAAACAAACATATACCTTCGACTCCAGTTCACTTGCTCAAAAACCACCGTATACCGACAAAGCGTCCGGAAGGTTTTAATGTTTATCTGAACAAAAAATTATTTTTGAAATACTTCGTAATTTTAGTTTAATGAAATAGTAATGTAAGTAACAATAGCGAGAAAAATGTTTTCAATACATAAAATCATCTTTTATAGCCCGCAAAATCGTACATCTATCCACGCATAGTTCAAGTCGCGTACTGACTAACATAGCGTCCCGAAACGTATTCATGGTTTTTATTTTATCTAAGCAAAGATAAATCGTAATTAAGTTCTTTTATGATACGTGTAAGTGACATTAAAAAGGAAATAAACATTTCATCCACAAAATATTATTTTACAGCACGAAAACTGACGTTTCCCATGTTGCGCTAACAAAGCGTCCCGAAGAATTTAGCGTCCCGAAATGTCATGAAGCGTCCCGAAGCATTAATCTTAATTTAAACAGTCAGAATGGTTATATTTATTGTAAATAATGTATATTATTATGTATTGAGATATTTATGGTAGAAAAAAATAATCTTACTTATCATTTTTTCTATTTATATAAAAAAAACTAACATACCTTCGACTCCTGTTCACTTGCTCAAAAACCACCGTATACCGACAAAGCGTCGGAAGGTTTAATGTTTATCGAAACCAAAACTATTTTGAATTACTTCGTAATTTAGTTAATGAAATAGTAATGTAAGTAACAAGGGGGAGAAAAATGTTTCCAATACATAAAATTATATTATCTATATAACCCCCGAAACCGTACGTCTATCCACGCATGTTTCAAGTTGCTAACTGACTAACATAGCGTCCCCCAAACGTCTTCATGGTTTTTTTTATCTAAGCAAAGATAAATCGTGTTTTTTCTTTCTTGTTATGTGTCGGTGACATAAAGAATGAAATAAACTTTTCATCCACAAAATATCATTATATACAGCACAAAAACTGACGTTTCCCATGTTGCGCTAACAAAGCGTCCCGAACAAATTTAGCGTCCCGAAGCAGTTTCACTTTAAACATCGATATAATTAAAAGAAAGCACTATCCATTTAAATTTGGTTTTTTTTTTCTAGATGATATTATTCAGGAAGACAGTTCTTCTCTATCAAATATTATTTGATATCCAGAAGATTAAAGTAGACATGGACGTGCGCAGTTGATGACACACTCTCATATTCCTAAAATAAGGAAGCGTCCGGAAGATGTTATTGTAATCCAAAAAAAAGTTGATATTGTAATAAATTGTATATAGCCGAATACAATCATTATCAAGTAACATTTGTTTTTATGGATAATATTAATCGGTTCACGTTAGCAATGTCGCGCTAACAAAACGTCAGGAAAAAAACCCTGATATCGATAGTATTTGAAATAAATGGTAACTTATTGAAATCATTGTTTTTTCTAAATTGTACCGATCATGACATTATGTATTATCCATAAGAATGTTATATATTTCTATAACACTTATGTACATGTATGTAAAAGCAAAATTTTAATGTTTGTATTTATAAATATTTCATGGAATGCACGGGCTGGCAGTGTCATTTTTCCGGTTTTTGTATGTACTGTAGGTAATTATAACATTTAGGTGCACGAGCACTGTTCTTAATAATCTATAATTAATTGATTTGTGATTCATTGTCTCGCTCCTTAATGTTGATTAGTGTGTTTCATTTCATTGCAATCCTAATATCATTTTGTCAAGTTAATAAATAATATACATGACATCCCATCTAACAAGACTATTATCATTATGATTTGTTTAAATTGTCTAAATTTTAATTATTGTATTTCTATTTTTTTTAAGCCGTAAACGGAGTGAAAGATTGTAATCTATCGATAGATCGCTATGGATACCGCACTCCATCCACCCCCCGTTGTGTACGCATTACTGAAGAGTCCAGATAACTGCCTTTCCTAGTTTATTGCATTGTATATCCGGACATTCGTTCGTAAACTGTGAATAAGTTATGTAATAGTTTTTAGACATTTTTGTGTATAATAACAGTACATATTTGTTGTTTTATGTGATCCAGACCATCCTTGGCATCCGCTGTTCGCTTACCCTATAACAAGTAGAGAATCTGATAGCGCACAGCATGTGTGTGGATGCGCAGGCTGGTCTGGATCCATGCTGGTCGCAAACCCATTATGTTGGTTTTGTCATGGCGCGGCTCTTATCTAGTTGTTGACACTTTCGTTTTCGGGATAATATGCAGAATTACCCTTTAAATGGACTTTCCCAACAATATACAACAATATACATAGAACACATATAACATGATTTAAAAAGTACATTGCCACTCATATGTTGAGTTATAAAAGACTTTAGTAACAATTCAACGAATAAAGAGACGAACGTAATTACTGCTTTATATACTATATGCATGCTTATATCGTTAAAGCTAAGAAGCAGACGCTAATCGTTAAATAAAAAATCATTAAAATACACCATGAAATAAAAAAGTATGTTTCTCTTAGCTTTTAGGAAAAAAATATTATGCTTTAACTAAGTTTTATAATAAATGATTTGTTATGTTTAATTGCAGTATATAATTATATGCAAATAACTTACTTTCGATTTTGAGTAGGAAAGTCCACAAACAAGAGAATTCGTATAAATACATGTAACTAAAGTTAATCGTCACCCACTTGTATTTCGTAATACTTGTATACCGTTAATCTGGTGCAATCTTATAATTTACTTTAACTGATTTTAAATATTTGTTTACAAATTATAACAAATACATATATTTAATGATAAAGTAAGTTAATAGTAAGCATTATTTTAAAAACAAAACTTTATATAAACGACGTTGTTGTCAAAAAATATTAAAAGAAAATAAATAATTAAAATAGAGTTAAATTATCCTTACCCCATCAGCGGTGGGCATATGTCGTTGCTTTAGCACTGACACAGACCGGGAAGGTTTGGCACTGTATGATGGGGCGAAACAATTAAAAAACTTTATAACATTTTAACTATTTGGCTATTATATATAAATTTTAACTATTTTGCTATTAAATATAAATTTTAGGACTATATAATAAATAAATAGATAAACTGTATATTTATTAAATTACAAGTGGGTCAATAAATTGATAAAAGTCTAATTCTTAAAAGTAAATTAACAAAAAAAAAAAAAAAAAAAAAGGGGCCATGTAAGAGTTCCTCCACGTGGTGTGGCCTGGATACAGATGAGCATATGAAAACATATATTAAACATCTGTAACTGAACGCTCTTAAAACGATTATATTAACTGCGAGTTAACAATACTTCTCGGCTAATTGTAATTTGTAACACTTTACACTATACAGAATATGATTTGACTATAAATTGTATGTTTACAATTTTATGTTAAATAAAATTTATGTTATGTTATGTTATGTTAACTGCGAGTCAGTAAATATAATCTCCTATACTGGACGCTAACTTTCTTCCGGGCGCTTTGTTAGAGCGACATGAAATTACACGGGTAAACGTCAGTTATATAAATAGAAAAAAAAGATAAGTAAGATTATTTTTTCTACCACAAATACCTCAATACATAATAATATACATTATTAACAATAAATATAACCCTTCTGACTGTTTAAATTAACAATAATGCTTCGGGACGCTTCATGACATTTCGGGACGCTAAATTTCTTCGGGACGCTTTGTTAACGCAACATCGGAAACGTCAGTTTTCGCGCTGTATAATAATATTTTGTGGATGAAATGTTTATTTCCTTCTTTATGTCACTTACACATATCGTAAAAGAACTTAATTACGATTTATCTTTGCTTAGATAAAAATAAAAATCATGAATACGTTTCGGGACGCTATGTTAGTCAGTACGCGACTTGAACTATGCGTGGATAGATGTACGATTTCGGGCGCTATAAAGATAATTTTATGTATGGAAAACATTTTTCTCGCTATTGTTACTTATATAACTATTTCATTAACTAAAATTACGAAGTATTTCAAAATAATTTTGGTTTAGATAAACATTAAACCTTCCGGACGCTTTGTCGGTATACGGTGGTTTTTGAGCAAGTGAACTGGAGTCGAAGGTATGTTAGTTTTTTATATAAATAGAAAAAAATGATAAGTAAGATTATTTTTTTCTACCACAAATACCTCAATACATAATAATATACATTATTTACAATAAATATAACCCTTCTGACTGTTTAAATTAACAATAATGCTTCGGGACGCTTCATGACATTTCGGGACGCTAAATTCTTCGGGACGCTTTGTTAGCGCAACATGGGAAACGTCAGTTTTCGCGCTGTAAAATAATATTTTGTGGATGAAATGTTTATTTCCTTTTTAATGTCACTTACACATATCATAAAAGAACTTAATTACGATTTATCTTTGCTAAGATAAAAATAAAAACCATGAATACGTTTCGGGACGCTATGTTAGTCAGTACGCAACTTGAACTATGCGTGGGTAGATGTACGATTTCGGGCGCTATAAAGATAATTTTATGTATGGAAAACATTTTTTCTCGCTATTGTTACTTACATTACTATTTCATTAACTAAAATTACGAAGTATTTCAAAATAATTTTGGTTTAGATAAACATTAAACCACCCGGACGCTTTGTCGGTATACGGTGGTTTTTGAGCAAGTGAACTGGAGTCGAAGGTATGTTAGTTTTTTTTTATATAAATAGAAAAAATGATAAGTAAGATTATTTTTTTCTACCACAAATACCTCAATACATAATAATATACATTATTTACAATAAATATAACCCTTCTGACTGTTTAAATTAACAATAATGCTTCGGGACGCTTCATGACATTTCGGGACGCTAAATTCTTCGGGACGCTTTGTTAGCGCAACATCGGAAACGTCAGTTTTCGCGCTGTAAAATAATATTTTATGGATGAAATGTTTATTTCCTTTTTAATGTCACTTACACATATCATAAAAGAACTTAATTACGATTTATCTTTGCTTAGATAAAAATAAAAATCATGAATACGTTTCGGGACGCTATGTTAGTCAGTACGCGACTTGAACTATGCGTGGGTAGATGTACGATTTCGGGCGCTATAAAGATAATTTTATGTATGGAAAACATTTTTTTCTCGCTATTGTTACTTATATTACTATTTCATTAACTAAAATTACGAAGTATTTCAAAATAATTTTGGTTTAGATAAACATTAAACCTTCCGGACGCTTTGTCGGTATACGGTGGTTTTTGAGCAAGTGAACGGGAGTCGAAGGTATGTTAGGTTTTTTTTATATAAATAGAAAAAATGATAAGTAAGAATATTTTTTTCTACCATAAATACCTCAGTACATAATAATATAGCTCATTTATAATAAATATAACCCTTCTGGCTGTTTAAATTAACAATAATGCTTCGGGACGCTTCAGGACGCTTCGGGACGCTAAAATCCTTCGGGACGCTTTTTAGTGAGACCCCTTGCCGCAAGTAATTGACCTTCTTCCGTCGTAGGACGTTTGTGAAAAATAAAATGATTTCAATACCGAAATCAGCGGGTGTTACCGCAGTTTCACAGATTGTAAATTGTACTAAGACTTCAGCAGCACCCGTTATTTTAAAGAAAAACTTATATAAACGTAATGTATTCCTTCCTACGAAGAAACAAACTTTACCAAGTTCTGGCATCGCTGCTTTTGTTGAAATAGGAGGTAAATTCTGGGAATTTCTTATTATTTCAATGTCTTATTGCAAAACCGTTATTTGATAAGTAATCTGCCTTGCAAAGGAAGCTTTTTTTTAAAAATTATGAGACAATTTTATTTTTAAAGAGTTGAATAGAACTTCAACAGGGTAAGAAATTTGGAATTACGGACGGGGCGGACTGTGAGACAGGGCGGACCGTGTCTCAAGACTAGGCGGACCATATTTTGGGACAGGGCGGACCGTCACTCGAGACGAGGCGGACCGTGATAATAAGTATTTGTATGTGGTCTAATGTAATAAAGGAATTAAATTATTGATGTTTTTGTTCTTCGTATTTATATTTCAATGCAAATATAAAAAAAAAATTAAATACAGTAAGTTTTAAAAGTCCTTTGATGTGTCTTATTGTTTATTAACTCTATTTCAGTGTTCCTTTTATTTCATGTGTCTGTGCTTATTATGTAATTTTGATAAAAGAGTTTTGTTCTTTAAATTGTCACTTCATTCTTGTTATTGTGTTGTATAGCAAATAATTTTAATGTGATGTAATTCGTTTCGTTATCATTGTTATTTCGTGTATTGTACAACAAAATATATGTTTTTTATGTGTCTAATTGTTTAATCAATTTTAGCAGCGTTAGCGCCTTATACAAACAATGACATTGTAACATCCCGATCAGGGCCAAAAAACCCTTCTTTGTAGAGGCCGAATATAGGCTGCTTCCCCAACCAAACTAGCCTCTTTTTTTCCCCAGTTTGGTCCTCAAAATTCCCCAGTCTTTTGAAATTTCTCATAGAATTTAGAACAAAACTAAATGATGGTGTTGAATTAAGGTATTTTACTACCTTATTAGTATTTCCCAGTTCTTTTTGCTTTTCTATTTTGAAGAACTTGTTAAAATTTTGTGTTAAATTTGAGACCCCTTTTCCCAAAGTATGCCAAAATCATGCATATTTTCCCCAAGAAAAAGGCTGAGGCCCCTTCCCCAAACATGGTGTTTTGGCCCTGCCGATAATTGGTCGATTATCACCTTAGTAAGTCAACGCAGTTACAAATAATTTCTTGAGAAATATACTCTAATATACTGAAACAAAAAAAACCAAGTTTGAATGTAGATATGTTAATACAGTTTTTCAATCCTTTTGAAACTCGATTTTTACTCGGGCTTTTATACGGGGATTAGCTGACCGATTTTGCAAACAAAACGAGTTTTACAAGCTACTACATGTATACAAGTGTCTACATCTAAGTGATACCCTTGAACAACTGGCACATACTTTGCGAAAGTTTCTTTTTGGTTCAGTATATATAATGTTACATAATGTTACATAGAAAGGTTTAGATTCAAATATTATAAAGAATACCAAAATCGTCCACAATTAAAAACTGTAAATACTTTTTTAAATCTCGGTCAGCCTCGTCTCGAGTGACATCATCCATTCAGCAAATTAATATACAATTACACATGGACTTTTAAAACTTATTTTATATTTTCACTTTTATATTTGCATTGAATTATAATACGAAGAATAAAAACCTCAAATAACTTAATACTTATTACATTAACCCACATATAAATACTTTTTTAAATCACGGTCCGCCTCGTCTCAAGTGACGGTCCGCCCTGTCCCAAAATATGGTCCGCCTAGTCTCGAGTCACGGTCCGCCCTGGTACGGTCCGCCCTGTCTCACGGTCCGCCCTGTCCTGCAGGCAGAAATTTGGATTTGAATATATCAAGTTTGTTTAAAGAAAAGCCCTGGGGTAAAAATTGGCCTAGTCCCAGGGAGTCATTGTTTTTCCCTTATGTATATAGTAAAAACTTAAAAAAAAGTCTTTTTATAAAAACCCAAAGAGCTAGAGCAAAGATACTAAGCATGAAATATCTTCTAGCGAGTGTCTACCAAGTTTGTTTAAATAAAAGCCCCTTAGGTCTAAATTGGCCTCTCCTAGGTAGAAGGGGGGGTTCATTGTTAAATTTCCCAATATGTATATAGTAAAAACTTGAAAATCTTCTTATAAACACTCCAAAGAGCTAGAGTTTAGATATTTATCATGAAACATCTTCTAATGGGTGTCTACCAAGTTTGTTCAAATAAAAGCCCCTGGTTTAAAATTGGCCTTGGCCAAGGGGCCTATATACAGGTGAGCAATTTCAGGGCCATCATGGCCCCTTGTTTTCAAAAGCTGTTAATGTAAAAAAAGATTGTTTATATCCCCAGATTAGCTGGGAGAACCCAAAATATTTCAAATCCGGAGTATGTTTACTTAGAACTAGAAGAAAGTATATATTTTTGCTATATTGCTAACAGGTCCATGCCAAGTGAGGTTCTCACACACTGATGTCAAATTTCCAGACTATGATGTGTACAGAAAGAAGGGAAATATTGACAAACATGATGTCAACAGAAGTGAAACACCCTCTCGTACCTTCTCATATGTAATGGCTGGAGGTATAATTTTCTTAATATTTTTGTTATCTTCACAAATGAACCAAGGCTTATGTCACTATTGCATATTATTTGAAAAAAGTTATTTTAGTGCTCTAAGTTAATTACCTTTTTTTAGGACATTCAATTTGAAATTCTTCTATATTAACTATGTTAAATATAATATATGCATAAAGTATTTATAGAGGTTAAAGGATTATAAGCAATAACCTTTTTAAATTTGTAAATTGATTATGAACAAATGTACAGAATTGACTACAAGTGTAGCTCATCAGCGTTCTACATCATTACATGAAGTTGTAAGCGCATGAACGAAATTTAGGTGAAAAAAGTTTGCTTTGTATTACTATTAGTACATGAGTGTGATATATTCTTTCATACATTGAATGTGCAGTAAATATTAAATTTGCACAAACTTTTTTCCCCCAAGTCCCAAATTTTAAATACAGTAGACAGATTGAGAAACAGCTAGGCCTCAGTTTTTACAAATAATAAGTATGTATTGTTAACTTAAAACTAAGAAGTAGCTTCCTTTGCCTTTTCCAAATAAAAAGAAAAAATAGGAAGTAATCATGATTATCCGTGTAACAGTAATGTAATTCAATCAATAACCTGGAAAAAATTAGAGTAATCCAATGTAACTGTAATAAATAAATTTAAGGAGTAATTGTTATGTAATCAGTTACAGACGAAAGTAATTTGCCCCAAGTTTGTATTCAAATGGGAATTCTTTCATGTGAATGAGGATTTATGAACTTAGATAGTAGATCTACAAAATGCCAGCCTTACCTTGCAACTTTTTCTGAAAACAAATGTCATTGCAAGCATAATTCACATTGAATTTCATGAAAATTAACTGAAAAAATTCCAATTGAAAGGTTGTTTGCAGAATGAAAGGATATTACTTTTATTGATATTTCATGCTTTATAAGATATAATATATATTATGTACCTTATGTAACAAAGTGTGAGTCAGTGTTTAATACTCATTGAAGATTTGTCATAAAGTAGCCAGCATTATGCTGTTAACTCTCTTGTTAGTAATGATTATTATAAAGGATTTTTGGCAGCAAATTTTGCTGCTGTTGTTTATTTTGTGGGCCATGGGGGTTTCATGGAGTACTAAGAGAGTACTTTTACCATTCTGTTTATTAATGCATTTATATTTTGGAAACTGCATCAAAGTTAACTGTCCACTTTATTTTTATAACAAAGAAGTAAATGTTACAGTGGATTGAAATTGATAAATTATTTTTACAACAATAATAAAGTTTTAATATTTTAATTATTTGTACACTATAGCTGGAGCGCTGGGAGGCATCTATATGGGAAAAACTATAGTGGAGAGGGTGGTAACAAGTTTAGCAACTACCAAGGATGTTTTAGCCTTGTCCAAGGTAGAAATAAATTTATCTGAAATACCGGAAGGTAAAAATATGGTATTTAAGTGGCGTGGAAAGCCATTGTTTGTAAGACATCGTACAGCGGAAGAAATTGAGACAGAACAAAATGTAAATCTGGCAGAACTGAGGGACCCCCAGCATGATAGTGACCGAGTACAAGACCCTAAATGGCTGGTCTGTCTTGGAATATGCACTCATTTAGGTAAGGAATTCATGTAAAATATTTGTTGTATATTTATATAAGTTAATAACAGGGGTCTCAGTAGCCAAGTGGTGAAAGTCACTGACTAAATCACTTACCCCTCACTTCTGTGGGGACAAATCCTTGGAGGGATTTTGGATTCTTTCATGTACATATTAGAAAGCTATCTAGCTATCTTCAGATGGTCTGTGGCTCTACTAAGTTTTAAATACAAAGGGCATTCAAACAAACAAATTTACTATTTAGTAACTTCTGATATCAATATTTTCTTTTTAATGAGTTGTATTTTTCAGTGAAGATACCCTTGGTCATAAGGGAAAGAAATAATTTGGATATCTTTAAGTTGCACATTTGCAGGATAACTATTTAAGAATTTTAGCTCAACTTCATAAGGTTGTTCAAATTTATTTGTCATGACACCTATAAGGGAGCTATACTGAAATCTTGGAGAAACTCTCTAAAAATAACCAACCAACTGGGTAAAACATGATGTATACAGGGCGTCAAGTTTCCTATAAATTCCTATATATTCCTATATTTTGGAGTAATTCCTATAAATTCCTATACAGTGTTCAATCTAGAGCGCGCCATTGCGCCATTGACCCCCTGAAAAGACCGCCGGCGCAAAACAAATTAAACTGTGGGCCCGATGGGCGCACTCATAGAAAATGCCCTAAATGACATTAGAATGCTTTCTTAAACCTGATTATAAGTACATAAAAAAAGTTTCTTGTGAATAATATTAATAAATACTGAATTCAAAACTGAAGTTTGTATAGAAAAACAAGAGCATGTTAGTAAGATAGTTTTAAAACCTTGATCGCTACGCTCTCTCGGCCGGGGTCTGTAAATACTATGTAGACTTTTTCTTCGTACCATAACTATTACTTACTTTTGAGTCACAGTTTTTATAAACAAAACAAATCGTCACAGATAATCCAATACGTGCGTGCAGTTATAGTTTTTTCACGGTCAAAACAAATAAATATGTCATAACTTTCCGGAGGAAAAAAAACTATATATTTGTGAAAAGTGCGAGATAATTATAGAGAAGTGTGCATAAATTATTACGAACACGCCTTCATCCAATTAAAAAAGTCTTAAAGATGGAGCTAATCAAACACAATTGGCTAGGGGGTGTCTGACAATTGAGTAAATAAACTTTGATTGGTCTTTGGCTGGTCGGCGCTAAAACATTGTGCATATCATTAATCAATACACGTGACGTAAGAACTGCTGCCCTGACAAAAGATCAAAGGTACCGGTATGTCAATATACATTACCTTAGCACCTGTTGACACTTAGTTTTTCGTTTGGATATATTGAGAAGGGTAAATGTTTTTAGCGACTATTGTAAGTTTATAGTCTTCATCAACAAAGCTAATTGGGAAATATGATTTTCTTTTATATACATTTTGTATCGGGCCCTGATTAAAAAACTGAACATTATTATCAAATATCCATGGTAACATTAAAATAAGATTAATATGTTTCTTTGAACATTATGTCATCGTTTCTTTACAAATCAGTTCTTAAAATTGAGCCTGTATCAACGCTAACAGAACTCTCAAAAATGGTCAAAATAATGTCATTTTTTTAGTGAGTTGATTGTTTTCGAATTTTGCAATTGTTTTTAGTCTATATATGGTACGTGAACAAGTAACTTAAAAGATACAATACCTTTTTTTAATTTGATGTTTTTTTAAGTGCGGGCCCCCTTTTTTCTCAAATGACCCCCTTTTGAAAAGTTTACTGGCCCGAAGGCCCCCTGGGAATTTGTTCTAGATTGAACACTGCCTATATTTCCATGAAAATACCAATATTTTTGTGAAATTCCTATAAATTCCTATATTTAAGGGTAAGCAAGAAATATTGGATTATGGAGCAAACCCAGTACTGTATATTACAAGCAGTTTGTGTCATCTGTTTGTATAATGTGCAGCATTTACTTCAAAATCCGTCTTTTTTTTAAGTGTAGTGACCCTGCCCAGCTCAGCTAGTCCAGTTTTACCTTTTGGGTTTGTTTGAGGGAAGTCAAACTTTTTTGCAGGTGAAACTGTCCTATATTTTAACAAGTATTCTGTTTCAGGATGAGATATCCTATGCTCAAATTTGATATTAGAAAATATTTATTATTGCTACACAGTCTCTTTATAAATATAAAATAAACATGTTTTGACTTCAAACAAAGTAGATAATTATGCAATGTTTAAAATTCTTCACACTATAGGTTTTTTTTAAAGAAAAGGTCAACTTGACCTGTTGAATAGATAGCTTCCCGTACATGGTTCATTCATTTTTTAAGTTAAAGTTTCATGGATTTCAATAAATTTCTGTGATTAAAATATTTTACTCAAGGATGAGCATAGTATATCATTAACAAGGATAAACATGCCTATGGATAAAACAAAGTTTCAGGAACGGTGGTTAACTGAAATAAATTCAAATTGAAAAAAGTAATACAGTCATTGTGTGTTAAAGGTAGTTCAGATCATATTGTTAGGTGTACCCTTTGTAAGACAGAAATCAAATGTGACAATAGTGTACTGTGTAATTAATCAAATACTTCACCATGGGAAATGGTCACAACACAAGAAATTAAGTGAGTAAATTCTTTCAATAAAACAGACTAAACTAACATTCAAAGTACAGCCTAGCGCATCTTCAAACACAGCAGAGAGTGAAAGGTCAGGTCAGGAAGCTCAGGTACTGCTGTTGGTTCACCAAAAATAACTTATGCTTTACCTAATGAAGATGTATTACATACCAAAGTCATTTGGGGAAGAAAGTGTGCACCATTCATCTCATTCGAAGAAGCAGAAGTGTGATTAATTTAACAGCATTTGACCTTTTATGGTTGCAACACAAACATCTTAATCAAACAGGTTGTCAAATGTATGTTACAGTAGGCCAATGTAGTTAGTATTTCTGGTTAAATGATTATAAGCTTAACAGTTACCCACTATGATTAAAATAAGTATTTTGGCATAATGATATGAATGGACACAAATACAGAACAGTGCCTAGTGCTTCATTTACTGATTTATGTTAGTTTTCCAAGTATGTTACTTTATTAATTGTCATAATTTTATTGAAGTATTGAAAGTTATTACACCTGTTGTAACTTGTAAAGAAAAGGAGAGTGTCGTGGGTGGAGGAGGAGGTTTTAAAGTTCAGAATTTCTTCGTTTTTCTTGTCCTATATATTCCTATATTTCTGGGAAAATGGTCCTATATTTCAGAGGTAAGTCCTATATTTTTAGGACCGAAATTCACTTGACGCCCTGTGTATAGCATACTGCTACATACATAACCCTTTGGTTTGTGGAGGTTAAAGTTGGAAATAATACCCAATTGTAACAACTTTCCATGAAATAAAGTAAATTACAATGTATTTGAGTCTATCAGAGTCATTTTGTTGTAATCTTATTTTCCTCTTAGAAAGTGTTAAATTTGAACATATGGCAGTTTGAATGTCAACTTACTTATTAATTATTTAATTAACAGAAATGATATTCAGGGGCAGCAAAATCTGATTTTGACTTACTTGCCTGTTATTATCTAAAGCATTTGTAAAGTTGTCCATAGGATATTAATACAGTAAATTCTTGAAAATTTCTACTTGTCCGTAAGGCTGTGGGACAACCTTGGCAATATGGACAATTGATTTTGTGGTTCCTGATATTTTAGCATATTCTACACTGTAGTTTGTTTTTCTCTCATTAAACAAAGACTAAGCTCTTGAATGTGTTTTTGTATTGAAAAAAAATTAATTCAAGTGTGGTAGACTTTATGCAAGAAATATTTTCTGACATGGCATTTGTATTATCCAGTGCTCCATGCCGGCCGATGAACAGATACCGTTAGGACAGTAATCTGACCAGGCACTATAGTGTTGTACCATTTCGCCCCATTAAAGCAAAAAGGTACCAAGCGACATTTTGGCCAAAAATGCCTTTTTAACATTTTTCATTATGTTTTACTGTTATCTTTAATCTGTAAAAATATCTCTGTAGTATCATGTTTATTTACAGACATATAAGGTTATGTAAAAAGGTACAATGTCAATATTTTCCCATTTAGTAATGCAAAAAGGTACCATATGTATACCAGTTTAAGCAAAAAGGTACCAAGCGTCACATAGTACCTTTTTGCATTGAATGACTATATAAGTTTTGAGCACTTATTTGAAAGGAAAAAGGAACCATGTGTCACATGGTCCCTTTCTGCACACAAAGAATTTACGACCCTTATGATTATTTTATATATTAAATTGTTTGCTTGGTACCTTTTAGCTTTTTAATGAATACACAATCTAGATATTGATAAGGACATCAAATATAACAATATATCCCAGATTATTGTTTCTGTTTTAAATTGAGAAATGATAACAGTGTGAAGATAATGATGTATAAATGACTTCTTCACAAAAACGTGGATGAAAAAAGAAAAGTAATTGACTATACTCTTGCCAACAAGATACATGGTGTATATGGAAGGAGAAACATGGCAGGGAAGTGTACATCTGCAAATAAACTAGACTATGATTATGATACACTAAAATTAGTAAAACAGCATAAAGAGTAATTTCCTAAAATGGAATACAATACAAGAAAAAACTGAAAGAAACAATACCTATCTCATGACTATGACTAAAACATTAAAAAGATGTGGAAACTGTAAACCATTGAATGTGAAACGAAGGGAAATAAAACCTGTTAAGCAACATACATATAGGAAGATCTTTTGTGAAAATTACAACCAATCATTTTCCAAACCCCCAAAAAGACCAATGTTCATTATATACACTGTACAATAGAAAAAGGCAGTAGGCACACTAGATGGCACGATCAAGGACAAATATATTGAACATCAAAAACAGAAGGAAAATTCACAAGAAGAAAAGGTTAAAAATAAAGTTGGAGCAAAAGGTGACACATGCGTTTATGTTGCATGCTTTAATCTCAAGGCCGTTGTAACAACCCCTTGCTCATTAGTGAGTGAGCTTTACTATTCAAGAAAACTGTTGCTACACAACTTGACAGTGTATTCCTTATGAGACAAAAATGTTGTATTTCATGTATGGGATAAAACCAACTGCAAATAGAGGCATGTGAAATAGCTTCCTGCTTAATAAAAAAAACCCTTTTCTACTTGCCAGAGTGGTAATGTCAAATAAGTCATATATTTTTCAGATCCATACGGGGGACAAAACAGAAATTGATTCGTAGCTGCGTCTCTTCTTTTATATTATCACAAGTTCCAAGTTTAAGATAGATCATCACAAATTTCTTGTATCGGGTCACTCACAGATGGAGTGACAATTTTACTCTTGAAAGGGCAAAGAAAATAACTCCTGTATAATTATGTATCATTCAGTTGTGTTCTCTTATATCACTGGTCAGAAAATCACAGCCATACATTGCTGTGCCAATGAAATATAACCATGTTTTTGATTTCAAATACTTCATTGAAAAACAGTGTCCGAGACTCAAAACATACATTGAAGGACAAAGAGTAAAATGACTACAGGTAAAATGGATAAAGGTACCAAAGGAAAACCCAAAGACAGTATTTGTAAATTACAGTTTCAATGCTGAAGATTTTATGGAAATAGAAGTTCAGAATACAGAATCTAGACAGAAAGAAAGAATCAGTGGACAAATAGTGAACAAGATATGAAGTTATGATACCAAACGGTCAGTTTCTTTTCAAAAGAAAAATGACTTGGTTACTTTGTGTGCAAAGGAAATTATCCCAAAAGAGTTCCATAAATATAATGCCACTTAGCCAACATACAAGAAAGAAAAGGGTTATGTCACAATCGAATCGGAAGAGAATGATTCTGATTTTGACTAAGAATGTAAGAGATTTTGACATAGGCATTGAGATTGATCACAGAGGAAGACTTTCAAAGCATGCAGTGTGATAGTTGTATCAGACGTTTACTGAAAACACAAGAATTTCATATTATTATTTGTATGATTGTAGAATAAAACTGTAATTTTTGATTTTCCCTATATGCATATAGTAAAAACTTAAAAAATCTTCTTTTAAAGAACTCAAAGAGCTATGGCTAAGATATTGAGCATCAAACATGTTCTAATAGGTGTCTACCAAGTTTGTTCAAAGAAAAGCCCTGGGGTCAAAATTGGCCCCGCCCCAGGGGGTAATTGATTTTCCCTATATGCATATAGTAAAAACTTAAAAAATCTTCTTTTAAAGAACCAAAAGAGTTAGATCTAAGATATTTAGCATGAAACATGTTCTAATTAGTGTCTACCAAGTTTGTTCAAATAAAAGCCCTGGGGTCAAAATTGACCCCGCCCCGGGGGTCATTGATTTTCCCTATATATGCATATAGTAAAAACTTAAAAAATCTTCTTTTAAAGAACTCAAAGAGCTATGGTTAAGATATTTAGCATCAAACATGTTCTAATAGGTGTCTACCAAGTTTGTTCAAATAAAAGCCCTGGGGTCAAAATTGGCCCCGCCCCGGGGGTCATTGATTTTCCTTATATGTGTATAGCAAAAACTTAAAAAATCTTTTTTGAAAAAACCCAAATAGCTAGAGTTAAGATATTAAGCATGAAACATCTTTTAGTGAGTGTCTACAAAGTTTGTTCAAATAAAAGACCTTGGGTCAAAATTGGCCCCGCCCCGGGGTCATTGATTTTCCTTATATGTGTATAGCAAAAACTTAAAATCTTCTTTGAAAAAACCCAAATAGCTAGAGTTTAGATATTAGGCATGAAACATATTCTAGTAAGTGTCTACCAAGTTTGTTCAAATAAAAACCCTGGGGTCATAACTGGCCCGGCCCCAGGGGTGTCATTGTTTTTAACTATATGTGTATAGTAAAAACTTAAAAAAAATCTTCTTTTAAATAGCCCAATGAGCTAGAGCTTAGATGTTTAGCATGAAACATCTTCTTATGGGTGTCTACCAAGTTTGTGCAAATAAAAGCCCTTTGGTTAAATTGGCCCTGCAACGTTTGGGGGGGGGGGGTGGGGGGGCCTATATACAGGTGAGCGACCTCAGGGCCATCATGGCCCCCTTGTTTGATATATTCGACAGCAAATGTTAAAAATCATACAATGCAAAAAGGGGCCAAGCGATCATATGGTACCTTCTTGCATTTGTCGGTTAAAATACTTATTAGTGCAAAAAGGAACCATTTCCTTTAATTGATTAATTATCACTAATTAGTAATATATAAGCTTTCCAACTTTTTGAGCATGTACATTCAAATATTATCTAAATATATGTGAAGTTTCTTTGCCATGTTGTAAAAACCTGATTTGATATGGAACTTCAAATCTTTAAACGCGATTTTCTCGAAAACATGAAAATGTCACTTGGTACCTTTTTGCTTTAATGGGGCGATTTGTAGCTCTATTACTCTGTACTTTAATATTGAAATCCATGTTTAAACTTCAAATAAACTATTTGAAACTCAAAGCAGGGATAAATAATAACACAAATTCATCAGGTTTAGGGATATACAAACAAAATTTTTCTTACATTTTAGGGTGTGTGCCAGTAGCTGATGCAGGTGACTTCGGCGGTTACTATTGTCCATGCCACGGATCCCACTATGACGCTGCAGGAAGAATCAGGAAAGGCCCCGCACCTCTGAACTTGGAAGTTCCATTCTATCAGTTTGAAGATCAACTACTTATTGTTGGTTAAAAGTGATAATTTTTAGGTCTTAGGAAAATAAATTGAAGAAAAAGAAAACATGTGAAAGATATTTATTATATTATGAAATTGTGGAATTTTATATCATTTTTTTATTGACAGGCATTGGAATATACTTTAATGTTTTCTCTCATTTAATGTTGTTTTTTTTGTGCAGAATGGAAGAACAGACAAAGTGTTGATAATATTTTGTGATGATATTGACTCCTTTTAAAAGAAGTACTTTGTGAGAATGATGTTGAATAGAAAATGTTATTTAAAATTACCTGATTGTTTCTTTCTTTCTTTGAAACTATGAGATGATAACAGAAGAAGGTAAAATTGTGCAGAGGTCAAGCTACACTTATACTTGTCTTAACAATACCCAGTGGTCAGAGATAAGCTTCGTGGCCACATGATTATTTTCCATTATTTCTCAAGACAAAATTTATTTAATCCCTAGATATTGAGTAGTCATTAGATATTAAGTGACCTTTGTAGAAATTACCCTTAACCTCCTGGAACTGCAAGTGATTAACCTTTGCCAGCAGTATGATTATATACTGTTGGTAGACAAGTCATTTTTGTATTGTCAAAATATTTGATTTGTTCCCAAAATAGATTTACATCTCCATACAAACTGCTTTCCAGATTAGCAAGAATTTGAATTGATTTTTATAATTTGAATGAGAACTTGCAATGCATTGTGCACCTGGAATTAAAAAAATACTATGGCCTGGAAATCTACAATGTATTTGTATATATTATGGAGAAAAGAATGTTACAATATGTTCTTGGCTGTTGTCAATCACACTTCATTCTTTACACAGATTTATACATGTCAAGGAAACTAGTAAACTTAAAAAAGACCCCCTCTAACTACAGCATCTTCATATTACAAGCTTTCATGGTAATCATGGACGGACAATGTGTACAATTAGAGGTTTCAATGGTTTTTACAACAGAGAGAGATCAGTAAAGGTGGGGAATACTGGCATATACAGATCCATATGTTGTTCCACACACACATTATGATACTTATTACATGCAATCTTGCCATTGGCAATTAAATTTAGCGAGCGTTTATATCTTTTAGTTATCAAAAAAGGGAAACATTTCCAGTTATATCATATGCAATATTTCAGTTTCTGCAGAAGTAACCAGTCCTTTTGCATTTACAGAGGTATACTCTCATAATGCAAGTAATCTCATGATGAAGTTTTTTCCTATGGTATGATTGGCAATTTGGTTATCATCATATTTACTGGTGTTAATCGAAAAGTGCTTTCTTGAGACTATCAAGTTTTGATTTTTTTAGTATTAAGCACACATGTTTATACTGTACACATTTCAATATAGCAAGAGTCTAGGTGAGATATTACAAGAGATAAAACAAGTGTTTCAGTGGCATCAGAAGACAAATACTGCCGAATGCTCTTGATCTTAAAATAGTTAAGCATAGCAGTTTTAAATTTTCGTTTGCTATGTTCTTTGAAATCTAAGAAGGCACCATGATAGGCTTAACATTGTTGGGATTCGATCTAATCACCACAAATTCTAGTATCAATTTCTTTGTGCTACACGTCTCTAATTGTTGACGGCTTATATACAAAATAAACTCAGTCTTTATGGTATTCATTTTCAACTTGTTTCTGTTCATCCACTCATTGACGGCGACGGAATTTTCGAGGTCTTGAATTGCAGACGCTTCTTCTGTTGGTGGTTTAAAGCATTTGTTAGCGGGATGGTCATCAGCAAATCCAAAAACAGGGATAGATGGTGTCAAAATGTCAAAAATCATCTTCGTATAGGCCAGGTATAGCCACGGGCCCAAATGACTATTTTGGGGGACACTACAGTCAAACTTTCTCACTAATGACAAGTTAATCTCCCGACATCTGCGTAGTCTTAAGAACGAGTGTACACATCTATGGGCGGAGTCGCAAATACTGTACTGAAACTTGAGAACATCACGTCAAATGCTATTGTCAGCAGTGTCAAATTAAGCACTCGGATCAAGAACAATTATAACAGTGATTTCCTGGTGTTCCATGCCTTCAAAAACAATATCATTAACAAGTCTAAGATGGGCAGACTCACATGTGTGGAACTAGCGATATACCGACTGATTAGTTTGAAGGAGATTGTTGTCGCTTATATTGTTCATTCAGTCGGTAAAGTGCGGCTAAATCTACCAATTTTGATAAGAATTATAATGTACTTACGGTCCAAAGGTCTGCAAAAATTAATTCAAGACCAGACTTATTCAAAAGGGTTCTGACCATTGCCTGAGCACTTCCATTTGGTAGGAAATATACCTTGTGTCAGAAAAAGATTAAAGAGCTTGGTGATTATTGGTAAGAGCTAATCAAGAAAAGATTTCAAAACTTTTGTCGGCACTATGTCAATGCAACACGATTTATCTATAATTGATTAATGAGTTTTTATGCCCCCAGGCATATAGTAATTGAACCGTCTGTCCGTACGAGGTTATCCTAGAACGGCAAGTTGGATTTTTCTTAAGTTCTACCTGTACCAATGGCTTCTTAGTTTACACACTTACTAATCAATACAAAGTACATGATCTGGGAAAGTTACATAACTCTGGCTTTCATATTTACCAAGTTATTGCCCTTTTCAGCACTTAGAAAATGAATAATGGTTAACCTAAAATGGCAAGTTGGAAATATCTTAAGTTCTATCTATACTAATGGCTTTATAATTTCCACACTTACTTATCAATACAAAGTACATCATATTGCCAACTGTGTCATCCATATTTCCCAGTTATTTCCCTTTTTTCACTTTGAAAATAGGGCCTGTCTGGTCAAGTTGGATTTATCTTAAATTTCTCCTAATTGCTTAATTTCTGTAATGATATCTTTCATATTTAGTAGGTGGATACCTTTGATGGTCCTCTAATTTTTTGTGGAGTAAGCGGTCTCTAGGGTCAAGGTCAAGGTCACTGGCTTAAAAAATAGATATAAACATTTTTGCTCATACAGCCTTTATTTTTTAGTTGATGTCTTAGTTTAATACAAAGATGCCAAGGGAGGTCCTCCTTCTTTGGGTGTAGTAAGGGGTCATTTGGGACAAGGTCAATGTTACCAATGTCAAGGTCACCAATGTTAAAAATAGATTTTTACAGGTGTATTAACCTTATTCTATAGACAGATGTTATTTATAATTGATAGAAACATAAACTTTGATGGAGTTAGTGGTCAGTTGGGTCAAGGTCACCAGTGCTAAAAATAGATTTTTACACATTTGCTAATACAGTCTTTATTAAGTGACAGATATATTTTATATTTGGTAGGAAGATAACTTGCATGGTATTCATATTTTTGTTGGGGTAGGGATCAGTGGGTCAAGGTCACTTGTGCTAAAAATAGATTTTTACAATTTTTGCCCATACAGCCTTTATTCATTGACAGATGTATTTCATATTTGGTAGGAAGATAACTTGCATGGTATTCTTCCTTTAGATGGAGTATGGGGTCAGTTGGGTCAAGGCCACCAGTCCAAAAATTTTTACACTTTTGCCCATACAGCCTTTATTTATTGACAGATGTAGTTCATATCTGGTAGGAAGATAACTTGCATGAAGCAATGACTTGGCAACTTATATTTTTCACAATTACAAAATGCCATGACTTTGTTAAGCTATATAACTTGTGTTTACAATTTTTTGGCAATTTTCTGTCCATAACTGAGTGAATGGGTAAACATTTTTTGAAATATTGCTACTGACAAGAATCTGAACCGGGGGCATTTGTGTTTAACAAACACTTTCTTGTTTATATCTCGTCCTCGCTTAGCTTTATAAGGAATTTTAAAGATGGTACATCTCTAACACAAGGTTTAAGATTTTTAAAATCTTTCAATAGTTCTCGAATTTTTGCGTTTTTGCCCATAAAATGGTCTACAAATTTGTCGGTTAGAAAGTTCTTATTGTCAACAGGAGGCATAGGATTTTCCAACTTGCTACCGATGAGATTTTTCACAAATTGATAAAGTTTTTTTTTTGAATCACCTTTTCATTCAATCACTTTTTTGTGCACCCACTATAGGGGGGAGCATTAAATATACCTTTGTCGTCCAACCGTACAAAGGTATAGATACTTAGGTGGCTATGGAAACAGTAGGTAACAGTAAATTTTCTTTGATGCTATTCATTCAGTAAGCTCTTATGTGGCTATTCTCTTACGTGACTAAAAGAACAATATAGAGAACAAAAGAGTAGCCACCTAAGTACCGAACTTTGAAAATATTACCGTCCGTACAATCGTATAGATACTTGGGTGGCTATGGAAACAATAGGTATCAGTAAATTTCCTTTGATGCTATTCATTCAGTAAGCTCTTATGTGGCTACTTTTTCTCTTACATGGCTAAAACACGGTGCATATCCACATCGGTACCCTCTTTGCGAAATCTGCTGAAACGGTACCCTCTCTGAACATGCACAGGCCATTCTCTGCTAAAAACAAACCAGCAATGGATACCAATCCAGTAAAATTTCATTGTAATAACGAAAGGACGTATGTCACGTAGAAAAGATGTATACCACGGAACACTAGGATGTTTTATTTATGTGCTGATTTGTCATGTGCCCGATTTTCATGTACTGCAAATTCACAATAAGCTATAAAAAATCGACGTGTCTTGCTTCGCCCATCACCTCGACATATTTTTCGGGCTCAAATGAACATGTGGCTTGATTATATATGCATCATACATATTTAATATGTTCATATACATATCGTCTTCGGACAAATGGCAGTATATTGTCAAAAATAAATGTAAAATTCATAAAAACACCCTACTTTCGGTTTTGCAGCGGCACGGGCTACCTCTCTTCAATTGAATTTTTATATCACAGGTACCCTCTCATTATTGAACTCCTGGGTACCCTCAAAGCACGACATATGCTTTTATTTGCGTTAATCGTTAAGTGTGTATGTAATACTTTTTACTTTTATGTAAATATTACATACTTAACGATAAACGCAAATAGGGCACCCATGTGTTCAATAATGAGAGGGTACCTGTGATATAAAAATTCAATTGAAGAGAGGTAGCCCGTGCCGCTGCAAAACCGAAAGTAGGGTGTTTTTATGAATTTTACATTTATTTTTGACAATATACTGCCATTTGTCCGAAGATGATATGTATATGAACATATTAAATATGTATGATGCATATATAATCAAGCCACAGGTTCATTTCAGCCCGAAAAGTATGTCCAGGTGATGGGCGAATCAAGACACGTCGATTTTTTGTAGCT